AATATAAAGTATGAATGTTATGTATTAGGTCATGAACTTTGGTTGTTGCTGTTTGATGAAACAAATGAGTTAGTTATGTCAGTCAAGAGAACAGAAAAAGGCGTCAAAGGCGCCGAGCGCAAAGCGCTATATTGTGTTAGTGAAAACTGCACCAAGTCAATAAGATTAGGTTTGCATTATGAAGATGAGTTCGATACTGTTGAAGAAGTTTTGGATAGATATTACAAATTGCTTTAATTTACTAAAACATATTTCAAACATAATTTATATTCTGTTGAAAGTTTTGTATACTCGTTCGAATATTTATACTTAAACTCAACTCCTGGAGTACCTGGTATTTCAATGATGCGGATGTTACCTATTTTCATGAATGGTGGCGTTTGACCACAGCATTCGATTTCAGGGTCGAGATAGTCAATGACACATTGTTTCCCTGTTATTCGTGAGATAACATTTTCAAGGTCCTCCTTTGTTAAAATTATTTGGTTCTTGCTTATAAGATTTGTCAAAAGCTTCTTATCGTCTTTGAGTAAGATAGTTTGATATAACTGAAGAAGGTAATGGTCTACGTTATCTGAAGGATTTGTTTGAACATTTGTGTAAGGGTTGTCGTTGGCTTCTCTTGAAAGAATTTGGTCCAGTGGTGGATACTCTAACTTAACATCTGATGTAGCGTTAGCGTTTGAAGCTGAGTTTAAATTCACGGCGCCATGCGCCATGATGGGCTCTTTGAGCCCTCCCGACTTAAGTTCTGGTTCTTTTTCTTTCAAACACTCCGAACTATAGTTCTTTATGACAATATTGTTTGTCGTTCGTGAGTCAACATTTGATGTTGGTTCAATTGGAACATTAACGGCACCAGCTAAGATGGATTTGCTTCTCATTTCATATAGAATAAAAACCTTTTATATGTATGAAATGAACAATATACTCGACAAGGGTTTGAATGTAAAGCTAACGAATGAAAATATTGTTGAATTCACTGAGACAGGTGCTGTGTATAAAGATGTAGAACTACTGAACAAAAGAGCTAAGGGAAGAAGCAGGAACATGAACAAAGGGTGGAAGCCTATAAAAATTTATGTCAATGATGGCTCAGGAGGTTCAAACATAAAGTATGCAGAAAGTTATAGAGTTTATGCGCTAAAAGGTGAAAAGCCTTCATTTAAGAACAGCTATTCTAACGCATATCCTCAAAAGTTAACGGATGGGGAAGTGGATGATATGAATGACAGCAAAAATATTAACAGAAATGGCGACAGAGATGCATGGAATTTGTTTACCATCAGTCAATTGAAGGTTAAACTTTAAAACAATGTTGGTCGTTCCCATGGAATATTTTTGACTTTAATGGTATTAGTCATGATATGAATCTCAAGGTATGAACGAGGAGAGATGAGAGACTTATATGCTTCCCAAATTTCTTCAAAAGGTAATGTTATACCTGACTGTTTCCAAATGAGTTCAATATCATAACGTGAGAAACCTTGAAAGATAACGAAGTCAGTTATGAGACGTTTTATGTTTAAAGCTAAAAACCTCCATGTTTGCATAAGTATTGCTACAGTTAAGTGGTAATGTCTGACTTTAGTAATGATGTTAGCTAATGGTGAGTCAGGCTTTGACACTAAACCTTTACCGCGAAGTCGTCGCAAACGAGCAGAGTGTTTGAAGGATACTTTTTGAAGGGGTATTTTGAAAGTTTTGATAGAATGTAGTTTGTAAGTCGTTTCATATCGTAAACTCCTGAGTATTGACGTAAGTGGTGTTTGTCAATAATTCTTTCCATCTCTTCTGAAGTCTTTTGCATTCCTGACTGTATAAATTCAACGATGGCATAATATTTCCTCTTACGTCGAATGTAACGTTGAAGAAATTCAATGAGTTCGCTATCTGGAACTTTAACGACAGAGGCTTGAACTTTTGACATAAATGTTTTCGCTGTTGAGTCCATAGAGTCTGAAGTTGCTGATATAATGATTTGGTCATAATATGAGTCATTTCCTAAACGTTCTGTTATGAGTATATGACGAATGAGGTTAAATGTCTTACCTGACCCCATCTTTCCACAATAGAAATAAACACCATTTGAACAGAACTCATAGTCCTTACTGAAAGGAAGAATGAGAGAAGAGTTAAGTTTGTCTGTAGTTTCATTCATGTCTTCATCTACGTCATGTATTAAATGCTTCATTTTATCTCCATTAAAAATGCAAGTCAGAAATATTCAGAACATAGCACCGAGTCTAACTGACAAGAGTATAAAGATATACTATGAACACGTTATGATGAAACCAACCAAAATTCAAGAAAGTCAGTATACTTATGAATATCCAAGACACTGGGTAGAGTATGTAGGAGGTGAGAAAGCTATTGAAATAAGACAAGTTAGAAGTATTCCAGCAGGAAGGACAATATTATTGAAGAACTTTAATGTTTTGAGGTATAATGATGAGACAAAGAAGCAAGATAGTTTTCCTATTGCTGTGTATGTGAACCTAGACACAGGAGATGACATGAAAGTTTTTAACACAAAGCTTCAAACGGTAGTGAGAGAACAACTGACTGCGGAAGGACACCCATTACCTTCAGAAGTTACCATAGCATATAATTTTGAAACAAACTCAATAGATTTTAAAATCGCCTCTGCAAAGAAGTCAGGTTTTACATTTAATGAAGCAGATGTATATTCGAATGAAAACTTCAAAGCTATTGCATGGTTAGATAATGACGATTGCTTTAAGAAAATATTTAAATTCAGTGACTCAACGATGTCAATAGATGACCTTCGTGGAATGTTACCATCGACGTTTACAGTTGAAGGTTCAGCAGGATTGCTTACAAGATTGTCAATTGGTGGTATTTGGTCTCGTGAGAACATTGTTATAAAATCCAGTATAAGTGAATTTGCTGAAGAATCTATATTATGTCTTTCAAACTATATGTATTCGCCGCCGAAGCATTATAGTATAACAAACTTTGTCAGTAAGTTTAACATAAGACTTGTCGAACCTTCTTCAATGAAAGATGTTGTGCTACCCAAAGATGGAAAGGATGGACTCATTATTGAGATGATTTTAATTGCATATTAAATGAGCTTGTTCTTGAAGGTCATTCATGATGAAATAACTGTTGTAGAAGATGTTAGCAATTGTTCAGACATTTTGAAGCGAATAGATGATATAAGAAAGAAGTTTATGAATGAGAATGTTTATGTTTCATTGACTTTCTCCAGTAACGAGAACTTTTATGAGATAATATTGAAGAGAGATGATTTTAATATGGTGTAAATGGTAGCTTGGGCAGCTTTAGGCGCAATGGGAACAAAAGCATTAGCATTTGGAGCAAAAGCACTTGGGCTTATGACGCAGTAAATAAAATGAGTGGAGGAAGAGTTTCGAAGACATTAGATGCAAATAAAGGAAAGATTGGAGGCTGGGTTGCAAAGAAGTTAAGATTAAATAAAATAGGGCTCATAAATAAAGCATCCAATTTGGTTGCGACTGAGTCAGAAAATGCTTTAGGAAAGGACGATGAGTTTGCAAAACATGCAAAAGACTTTAATGACCAGATGAAAGGTGAAACAATGCATTTAAATAGAGTCGATGGAACTCTTCCTCCACCAGTAGTTCTTCCGTATGGTCCCTATGGAATGTATGGAAACCCTTACGAAAGACCATTTGACCCATTGACTGGTGGAAGTAACTGGTATCATTACGGACGAAGAAGAAAGACAGTCAAGTTGGAGACAGACGTGAAGAAAGCAACTAAAAAGAAACCAAGGAAGAGAGTTATAAAGTAATGAATTCAAGTGGGTGAAAAAACAGGTGAAAAAACAGGTGAGATGTCACCACTTCACCTAAATTTATTTTTGCGCTATGTTTTCATACGTGTGAGGGTGGTGATATCATTACTTTTTAAGTTTATTTTTTATTTACTGAAAATTTTTATTTGGATGTAAATGACAGAACAAAAGCAACTCATTCGAATTCCACAGTATAACAAACATACATTTAAACATTTATTCTTCCTTCCTGAGCATAACATGTTCTTTCAAATACATCCGAGACCAGTTGACTTTTCATTGACTGTGTATAAAGATAGAAATAGTTATATCATTAAACCATACGATGACGAAGGTAAGTTATGTAAATTGTACGTTAAGAAGTTAGAGAAAGTTTATGGCTTCAAGTATGACTACAATAGGGTTAACACTGATGATGAAGATATTGAGGAAAATTTATGAGAACATTAGTGAAGTCGCTAGTGAGAACGATAGTGAGAACGTTTATTTTTACATTAGTGAGTTCGTTAGTGAAGTGGTTGGCGGCTTTGTAAATATTTAAGGTTAAGTTAGTTTTTGCGTTCGTGTTGTAAAATATACGTTAACGGTTTTGTAAAGTGTCAAATTCACAAGTATTGGGTAAAGTGGAACGCAGTGCCACCATACACGAGACTTGTATACTAACTTACATTGGAGAAGGTGAAAATGGTCCAATTAATTCATACCGTTATAATCCATATTCTTATTTCAATGAAGAATTAAATGCTATTGAAGAGGGACCGGATGGATTACCACGATATTCTAACCAGTTTGATGGTCAATATGCAAATATTAGACCTGAAATTTCAGCTAAGAAATTCTTTAAAGTTGCTTTATTCGATCCAGTTTTCGCAAATGTTAAAGATGAACTTAAACAGCAATTCCAACCAATTATAGTAGCAAGAATTGCATCGGGTGCTTTATCTCAAGCATTCAAAGATTTAATTAAGAAACCATTATATCAGCAACGAGGTTTAACTTATGATTTAATTAAGGAATCAGATAAAAGAAAATTTGAGAAATCAGATGATTATAAGAATGCAATTAATGAATATATTAGGTCTATTAATTACGATGAAACAGCTAAAAATCAACTTCATGAACAAATACAGGGAATAATAGATTCAAAAGTTCCAGCAAAATAAAAGTTTAAATATATTTTTTTATTCGATTATAAATGAGAAGACGTTTCACTAGTCAAAAGAACACTAACGCAAAAGCAGAGATTACGGTTGGTTATAACGTAAATGATGATAAATCACGAATTATTCAAAATGTTAAAGTTAATGTTAGCCCCGAATTAACAAGGTCAGCAACTCAACCAAATTTATTAACTCGTGACTTACCGAAGAATGAGGAGAATGAAGAAAACCATGAGAATGGAGACCCAATCATTTTATCTGAACCCGGTAAAGAACCTGTTGAAATTCCCACTTATCCAACATACCCAGCACCACTTGATAACCCATATAAAATAGACATTAATTCTGAATTAATGAAAATATATCGCGATATCATAACTGATAATTATGATTCAATAATAAATTTAATTGACCAATCCGGTTTAATTATTTTACCTTATGAATCATTAATTCACATTATTGCCATTCTTTGTGATGTTCAAGATTCAGACGTGAAGATTCAATTTTTCATAGATGATGAGGTTTCATGCTGCGGAACAGTTGCAAAAATAAATCCTATAAAGGATATTAGCACAATTAAGATATCAAAGAACGGAACAACAACTGAACTTCATTTAACATATAATGATATTTATAATAAAATAGTTGATGAATATAAAATATCACTTGAAAAATTCTTTGTTAAGGCTATTTAATATTCAAGCATTAACATTATCGAATAATAATCCTTTGAATCATAATCAATAATAATTGACCTTTCACCAGTTTCTATCGTTTGTTTTATTTCTTTTTGTTCCCCACTATCCGGATCGGTCATTGTAATTGTTTTTGTTATAGTATCAGCTTTATCTTTAACTTCAATCTTTTTTCCATCGGGATATTTAAACCAAAATTCCAAAAATTCGATATTGTCAATCTGTTCATATTTTAATCTATCAATTACATTTTTAATACCATCTGAAAATCTTATGAAATGGTCATTATATGGGTTTGATTGAACTAAATTTGAATGAAGTGAAATATAACCTGTTGATGAATATGACACTGACTCATATTTTCTGAAAACACTAAAATTTATAACATGAATGAATTTCTTATTCGTTGAATTTATGAATTCTTGAGGTAATCTTATTCTAGTTTTATTTATCACTGGAAAATAACGCTTTACCATATTTTTAATCGTAATAAAAATGTCAATTATCAATATTATTTCGAATAATAGCTGTGAATTAAATTTAACAGTTAGCGGAATTTATAATGTTACTCTCGTTTCTGTGAGTGGTAAATTTAATCCCATTCTTTTAGACCCTTCAGATTATATATCATTTATTAAAGATGACCATGAAAAAACGTATGATATGTATATAAATAATGTGATAGCGAAATGGGATATTAACACGATTTTAAGTTATTTAAATGAATCATTTATCGTATGGTATGAAGAAAATTTTAAATCAAAACCTGATAAACTTTTTGAACTTGATGAAATAAATAACCTTATTAAATTTCCGCTGAAAATTAAATTTTGTACTCCTCATCTTCGTTCATTGTTGGGGATATTAAATTTTGAAAAAGATGTTGGGGATGTTTTGTATTCTGACACTGGTTCCAATTTCATTTTAATCAAATGTGATAAAGTTAATACCCCAATGAGATTTTCACATCAAACATTAGACCCCAACTCTTATCCATCAATACAAAACATTTTATCCATCAACTTAAACACATTTTCTTTATCATATCCGTTTCAATTATCCGGGAATTCATTTATTCTTCATTCAAAAGATTTATCAAATATTAAATTTAGAATAACTGACCTATTTGATTGTGATTTAGAATTTATGAATGAAATATTATGGCAATTTCAAATAGAGAAAATAGCTGATGAGATAACGGATTAAATATTTATTTTTAAATCATAATAAATGATTAAACAACAGCAACCACAACAACTTATTACATACGCCATATATGCATATAATTCAAAGACGGCAGAACAAACGCAAAGGTTGAAATATGGAGATTTGGAGATAGTATTGAAAAATGACCATTTCGAATTCGTTTGCAAAGGTGGTGCAGTGATATCAAATATAAAAGAAATTTTATTTATGAATTCAAAAATTAAAGGAATAACGGATGATATAACATCAATTCCACCAGAAGAACAGAGATATTACGCATTAAATGCATTTCCTAAAGTTTTGAAGATTGGAAGATTTAATTTAAATGAGGAATTCATAGAAGGTTTCCTAAACGACATAATGAAGAAGGTGGATAAGGAATATGTGGATAGTGAGTTAAATAAGAAGGTAAATTTGGTTTATGTTGATGAAAAAGATAATGAAATTAAAGAAAAGGTTGAATGGTATCATGAATGGACATCGGAGACTTTTAAAGTTAAAGCTGATACAGGATGGGTTTCAGGATGTTTAGACCTTAAAGCAGATAAAACTTATGTTAACGATGAGTTAGAGAAGAAGGCAGATAAGGAATGGACATCGGAGACTTTTAAAGTTAAAGCTGATACAGAATGGGTTTCAGGATGTTTAGACCTTAAAGCAGATAAAACTTATGTTGATGAAAATTATGCAAAGAAGTCGGAAGTAAATGATGTGATTACAAGCATGATAAATGAAATACTTCAAACATTATATCCTGTTGGTTCTATTTATACGTCAATGAATTCAACAAATCCAGAAACAGTTTTAGGTTTTGGTACGTGGAAGCAGATTGTAGATAAATTCTTATACTGTGCTAGATATTCAAAGCAAACAGGAGGTTCGAAGAAAATTAAAGAAGCAAACCTTCCGCCGCACACTCATACAGGAACTACAAACTTTTCTGGCGACCATAGCCACTCATTAAGAGACCACCCATTATACAACTCAGACTATGAAGCCGGTTATGATGTTTTATCTCCAGCTTATAACGATTCAACAAAAAAGACTTTTCGACAAACTGAACCAGGAGGAAATCATGTCCATACTTTCACAACAAATCCAACAGGCTTGGGTAAAGATTACATGCCACCATTTGTGACTATATTCGCATGGTACCGAATGAACTAAATATATTTTATGTCTGTAATTAATTAGGTAATGAAGTAATGGATGAACTGCAGAAATATATGTTTACGTAAATGTTTACGTTAATGTTTACGTTAATGGTTTCAGGTTATTCAAAAATGCTTCATAAATGCCTTCTTCAAAAATAATTAATTATTGAATAACCTAAAAACCATAAACGATAAAATAACTGATAACAAAATTTTATTTTTATATAAATGGATACCCCACAAGCTCAAAATTTACCACGAATCATAACAAGGGAGGAAATGATAAAAATGATGCAAGAACTAATTAAAAACAACAAAACACGAAAACCGAGAAGATGCGGTTATGCAGTAATGATGGAAAGAAGATGAGGAATAAAAATTAAATTTGGATAGAGTTTAAAAATTCATCTTTATTAAATTCATCTCTTCCAATCAATTTATTTATTCTATTAAATTCTTTTATTTTTACTTCACTCAGTTTAAGGATTGAACGGTAAGTTTCTAATTTTTCGATTATTTCTTTCCTCTCTTTATCGTTTTCAGCCCCACCGCATTGCGGCTTCTTTTTGTAATAGCATATTTTTGATTTAATTCTGTTTAGTTTCTTTTTATATTCATCGTCTGGACTCTGAATCTTAATTGAATCAGGACTCTTGGATGCTTTGTTGTCACTCATTTCTTACGAAATAAAAAAATTAAATACAGGGTGTCCAAAGGTGTGTTTAGCACAAACCTGAATACTGCGAATAGAAATAAACAAGTTACATATATATAAAGTTTATTTAAATATAATCACCATTGGATTCAATCACGCGTTCGCAGCGATCGATCCAGGCTTGAAAGACACGCTTTAAATCATCATGAGAAAATTGCTCAAATTACTCTCTTACAAAATTTTCAAGATCATCTGGACTCGCGAATTCGCGTCCTTCAGCTCTCTTTTTTAGCGTGCCGAATAAATAAAAGTCAGAGGGTGCAATATCAGGTGAATAAATTGGGTTTGGAACAACTTTGACATTGTTTTCCACCAAGTAATTCATTACCTTATGACTTTTGTGAACTCTTGAATTATCAAAATGAATTGCAAACTTTTGTTTTTGTTGTTTGGATTTCTCAAACTCATCAGAATTGATAATTTGAGTAAGAACATTGTCAATTAGATACTGAGCATTCATCGTATTAGGTTTTTGAAGAATATCAATTGCGATGATGCCATTCACGCCCCAAAAAACCGACAACATAATCATTGGTGTGTCAATTTTTTTCTTCGGGAATGTTTGCGGATTTTCATCCTTCGGGATCCACATGATTTTGGCTTCTGTTGCATATTGAAACCAAGACTCGTCCCTGTTACTAAAAGGCGAAACTTCTTGGATTGATACGCACCCAATATAGAGAGGAGCTCTTTCGAAGATTGGACTCTAGATTTTTTTTGAACTGAATTAAGGTTGTGCGGAACCCAACGTGTATACGCTAGTTTGTAGTTCAAATAATTGTGCAGATAATAACTGACTGTTGTACGTGGTATCTTTGTCATCTCCTCTATCCTTATGAGTGATGCTCTTGGGTCTTCATCTAGCGCTTGAAGAATTGCTTTGATTTTTCTTTGATCCGGCGATTTTTTGTCAATTTTTATGATGGGCGCCTTTTTGTTCATGAAGTGATACATCCTAACATGATACGTTACAGTGGAATAGCTAGTAGCATCCATACCAAAGCATTTTACCAATGTCTCGTAGATTTTTTACAGTCTTTGTATTTTTTTGCAAGAGCGAGGATGTTTTCTTTATGATTCATTAAAAAATGAAAAAAATCCCGCCAAAATTTCCCGCGAAACCGCCTCTTGTCTCAAAATTCATTTTATATCCCGGCATGGCGCCAAAATACAACTTACTCATCATATACATATATTCATATTTTTTATTATATATTTATAATCAGCATATATCTCCTTTAATAGTCTCATATAGAGCGCTGTGCTAAACGCACCTTTGGACACCCTATATTATTTAAATATAATGGAGTAATAAAATAAATCGGAATTTCTATTAATTTATTGTCAACTTCAACTAATGCATTGCCGTTAATATATCTAACAAATTCGGCTATTGTGTCAAATCTTCGTCTTCTTTTTGTCATTGATTTATCAGTTTTTCCATAATTGAGATGAATCAAAACTTTATCTCCTTGTTTAAAATTCATGAGCCCCGAATTAATTTGTTCACGTTTAACATCATTTAACCTTTCCATTTGCTTTCTAATATATCCCCATTCTTTTGAAATATCATTTTTCATTTCCACCGGTTTCATGTTTATAGTTCTATGCCATGTATTATTGTAATATATACTAACTGCTGTATGATGGAGTCATGATTTCCATCCCAGTATATCTGACCGTTAACTCCTAACGCATCTCTAAGAGTTCTCATTACCGCATCAACTATTTTATTATGAAACGTATATGGAGAGGATGAAAAGTAAAAATTAATTTGTGGGAAATAATGAGCCATAGCTGCCTGAAATCCTTTATCACCATCACCCCTTATATTATCTACTCTTTCATGATCTAGTAAGTATTGATAGCTCTTCTTGTTTCCTGTTCTGTTTTCCCTTTCACCGGAATGCAATATAAATATCTAGTGTTAATGTTAATGGCAAATAAATAAGTAACGTTTCCTTTTGAATATTCTAAATGATCGATTTCGTATGAATATGGATATGGTGCAAATGAAGGGCGACTAAATTTTTCCTTTAACGGTTGAATTTTTGGGTCAGTTGGTTTATTTAATATCTTGAAATCCTTTTTAAAATCTTTTTGCTTCTTTAATGTTTGAAATGGATATAATAAAGTGAATGATGAAGGATTAACTGAAGGAGGAGGTACTACCGTTGGAGGTTTTGGTGTTGTAAGTGGTTTAATTTTATCTGCTTTGATTTTGGATGATGAAGTTTTGGATTTCATTCCTCCCTTCATTAATTCTGGATGTATTCTATTCATTTGTTTTAAATATGCTGTATATAAAGGTTTGATATACTTTCCCGCTTCGAGTTTATGTTGAAGGATGAATTCCAAAAGTTGATCTTCATTTAAAAGTCGGGCTGAATATGGTTTAACTAATGAATCATAAATTAAAGCTTGTGCATCATTTATGGTCTGAAGGACCTGGGCGTTTTGCACCTTTAGCTGTTGAACATTTGCTACTTTCTCTTTTGGTGTTGTTTTCGGCTTTTTCTTCTTTGGCTTTTGTTCCTTTGGCTTTTGCGGCTCAGGATTATATAATTTATATAATTCATCAATATCTTCTTCTGTTAATACTTTATTTTTGAAATCTTTCAATTGTTTAAGTTGTGATTTAGTTTTTCCCTTTGTATATTCATTATTTTTAATTTTGTCTTTAATTTTAGAAATTATTTTATCATGATATTTCAAAATTTCATTTTTATAATACGGATAATAATAATCCATATCATCACCCGTTATATTGTTATTATGTTTTTGGAGATATGATTTTAATTCATAATAATTAAGAAAATTTTGATAACGTACTAAATCATCAATTAAAATTTCTAAATCTGCGTTATCCATTTATAATAAAATAAATGTTTTAAGGGTGCCCACCTCTTTGAATCATAGTATCAAAACCATTATTTACATATTGAATCACATCATTAACGGTTCCTTTTGTCTCTTCTGTGGCATTATTTAAAATAAAATTTTAAATTCATGACTCAACCCCTACGTTTTTAAATTGTATTAAATAAATGGCATACAACATCCATTTTCACAACATACAGCCTTAGTGTGTGCTCCTGTTAATGCAGTCTTACCGATTGTTAAGCGAGTCATTGACCCGTTTTTAAGTTGTAAATTAATATTCTGACCATCAAATATCACTTTATCATTTATTATATCCAAATAATTTTTAGGTGTTAATTGTTTATTTTGTCGTAAACTAACACCTTTCATTTTTTGTGCAATCTTTTTAAAATCACTTCCATCAATTGAACCGTTGAATGATGTATAACACTTGGGGCATAAAGCAACCATGTTATCACCTTGTTTCTCAATTGCTAAACCCAATAACTTCTTCTCATGTGCTTTTTCTTCAGCTTTATTCTTTAATTTAGGTTTAAATTTCTCATCAAAACAGAAGAAATCAAATGGTGAATTTGAAAATGTTTTTATCATAAAATTGTTTATCGGTAACAATTGCTTGAAATGCTTGAGTGTTAGGAAGATTTGGGTCGCCAGCGATTGCCCAATAAGATGAATCAGTATCACCTTCAATGAAATGAAAACGATTAACATTCATGCATTTATACATAAAATCATAAATGAAAACCTAAATACCAGTATTTAGCATTATCTAAAGTGAAGAATGCCTCTTGTAAACATGTATCACATCTATAAAATCTATCTTTGAGCATCACTTGATACGTATCCTCTCCTATTTCTCTTATGTTTTTAAACTTATTTGACATACATGCAACGCGTGCCTTCTGTGCATTCATTATTTTAGTCTTTGCGTAATTTTGTGTATTCATTGCATCGTAACCATATGATCCATTAAGCGAAATCTTGCAAAATAAACTTTTTCCTTTATTTCCTTCTAATTCAGCCTTTTGTCTTTCGTTCATAAATTCGTTCGCAAATTCATTAAAACAAGTGTTTTTAGTAAATGTTAAAATTGATTGAATATCATCGATGATAAAATGAAATCTGTCTATTAGATACCAAAGATAATAAGAAGAAAATGGTTGATATTGGTTGTGTGTTGATGCTAACTGAGTTAATTTCCTCTGTTTCTGGTCAACTGGTAGATTGTTTGATTTCATGTAATTATACATAAAACTGCCAATTGTTTTTTCATCTGTGATAATATCTAAGTTTCTTATTATCGGTAAAAAGTTTATGTAATCATTAATGTATTTTTCATCAATGTGACCCTTTACTTCAGCCACGAATAAAGTATTTTTCTTTCTTAATATTCCCAGTGCTTTTGCTTTCTTTGTTGCTGTATCACAAATGATAACACCATTCAATCTTCCCGGCATATACATTTTATGGTCAGTATATTGAATGAAATCATGAGGATTAGATGAAAATGATGAAGGATATAATGAATTAAAATCAACACCAACGAAATGAGTCATAATGTTGGTGGTGTCCTCATTTGATACAGTTTTAGTTTCTGGACTATATGAAAGTTTATTAATGTGCGTGATTCCTTTAAGATTTACTCTATGTTGAACATTTGATAGACCACCAGTAATTCCATTACGGAGAATGTGATAAGCTTCAACTGAATCTAAAGTCATTGGTAAATTATTTTTTAATGCATAATTTCTTAAATTGATTCTTAAACGTTGAACATCTTCATCTTTATTTGATTTTACGACATTGCAATAACAACACATTAACTGACAATTTTCTTTGGTATGTGGTTTTTCATTATCGATTCTATCCAATGTTGGTTTATTTGCATATGTAAACGCTTTACCACACATTTTGCATTTAGATGAAAGGATTAAATCGTGATAGTATTGAAAATCATCCATTGAAACATTATTTTTAGTATCTCTTTCTGCTTTTTCATCTTGTTTCTTATATGATTCAATTTTATATTTCCAATACTTTTTCGTTAATTCAAAACTTGATTCTATCTCTTCCTCAGGATATTTTTCATTAGGATTAAAGTCTTTATATGCTAAAGCGTAACGAATCATTGAAGCATTCGATGATAAAGAAAGATTATGAAGCGTGTCAATTTTATAAACAAATGTTTCTTCAATAATTTTATCGATTGGGTCAATCATAATTTCAACATCTTTATTGCAATAATGAATAAAATATTCTAATCTATTCTTAAAATTTTTAGCATCATTGAGATATATTTGATAATCACTATCTGATATAGTTTCTTGAGTTAATGCTGAATAAAATGAATCTTGAGTGAATGGTTCCACTTTATATAATTCTTCTTCGTAATTTTCCCACGTGATGAATTGATAAGGGAAAAAGGATTTAACACGTGATTTATTGTTTCCGAAATCTTGAGTGAATTGGTCTAATGTCCCACCCGCTATATAATTTCTGATGTCAATAAATCTCAATTCATATGGAACGTTTGTTTTCTTTACAATGATTTGCTTAAATTGTGAAGATGAACCCAGCATTGATTTTATTTTCCATTTTGCAGTGTTTAAATCATGAAGAATTAAATTTAAATCAAACTTTCCCGAATTAAAACCTATGATATTCACTTTATTGAATTCCTCATCTAGAAGTTCTTTAAATGCTTCCTTCTGTTTTTCATTTAATGTATGAGACAAAGTCCCCACCGTTTGCGGCTTCAATAATTCTTCATATTGTTCAATATTTGATTTAGCAACTAATGAACAGGTTGAAAATAAAAACTCAATCCAATCAGAAATAAAAGAATCACTCGAAGTTAAGCAAAAATTCCTCGTATATGTTTTATCATTTAATTTAACCGTTGATGATACCATGAATGGTTTTAAGTAAGCGTTCAAAGTTGCACACTCAGAAAGTTGTAATTCTTCTTTAGTCTCTAATGTTTCAAAGTCAAAAGTAATATAATATCTTGTCGGTTTATAATATTTCTGCAAATTGTGAGCTAATAACCACTGATATATCTTCTGTTTCATAATGTGGTGCATATGGTTGCTGTGTCTTTTGCAACTGAACGTCTTGAATTAATCTCCCATTATTTTCTTTACATTTCTCACAATGCTTTAAAAATCTTCTTTGGTTTTTCCTTTCTGGATCATCACGGATAGAATAAACTTCTTCTTTACAATATGGACAAACTTTATAGCCGGTGAGTGCTTCAACGTCTGTTATTCTGTCAGCGTGAAGTTTTCCACATGGACTCTGTGTTAATAAAATATTTACTGTTTCAAATTCTGGATCTATCATTATTGATTCCACTAATGGAAAGTCTACCTTATTTATGTCCACGTCTTCTGGTTGAGGATCACAATAATAGAAATCAATATTAACATTTAACATTCTCGCTAATCTCTCACTTTCTGATGAAATGTCAAACCCTTCATATGCATCTATTGCTTCATTTAAATAGCTTCTACGAGTTTTAGGATTAACACCATCAGGAATGTTATAGAAGCGTTTAAATAACCTTCTACCTTCTGCTCTAATTTGATTATCATTCATTTTAGCTGTTCCGTTTTTGTTCATTTATGTAAGAATAAAAAATTAAAAAATAAATAAAAATAAACTTTATTTTTTAAAGCCCATAAAATGAATTAAGAACACATAAATTTTTATCATCTGCGACGTGACGAATACATTTTAATTTACTCAAGAATGCGTACCCTGATACATTAAATCTAATTCCTGTCTTATTTAATTTCACAACTTTGAAAAGGAATGTATGAATAGCTATAAAATGATGAGAAGATGTTTTATGGGTTGCTTCCATTTTTTCTGAAATAAATGAATAAATATAATGTTTATAAGTTTTCATATCTTTTATGTTCTTAATAACGAATGGTATAGACCTTTCAACTTCGTCTTCCTTCGGTGCTTTTCTTTCATATGAAACATTATTAGTATCTTCAATAATGAAACCACAATCACACAAAATTTTATAGGTTCCAATGGTTTCTTTTGATATTTTATCTAATAAATCAAAAACTTTATCAACACCCGTGCATTTATTTAAATAATAATTTGTGTAAATATCATGATCTTCTTTCTTAATCGTATTAGTTGCATATGTCACGTTTTTAGTGCTTTTTTGAATTTTTTGGAATCTAAAGGTGGTGAAAGTAGGATACAGGGGTATTCTTCATTATCAATAAATTGTAACTTATGTTTACGAATAAATTTAGTACCTTCTTCTGAAAGTGTTTCGTCTATTTCACCATCTAATAAATTTTGTGTTGATTCTGAGACATAATTTTTATATCTTTCTTCATGAGATTTCTGAACTTCTGATTCTGAAGCTGGGATATTCATTAAACCCTCTACTTCATTTTCATTATATTTTTCAACTTCTCTTAATTCCTTAATTTTTTCATCTATTTCATCTCTTATTTTTTTCAGTCTTTCAATTTCATCGTATTCATCATCTTTAATTCGTTCTTCATAATATTCGGGGAAAACATCAGGTTCTTTAGGTTTTTCTTCTTCAGATGTGGGATATAAGAAATTTATAATATCATCTTTATTCATTTTTCCATCATAATCTAAATCATTTAATAACTCCGCGAATTTTTGACAATTTCTTAAATAATATTTATCAACTTCATAACCCACCTCCTCTAATATATCCTTTATTTCCTCGTTTGTGAATCCTAATTTTTTAACGTTGTTAGTTTTGACGCTCATTTCATACAAAATAAAAAAATAAATTAATAAACATAACTAAGTTTTAATTTTTCGTAAGACATGAATTTTTAAAGTTTATTTTTTAAAAAAAATTTATTTTTTATTTCATTATGTATGGGCTGAGTGTAAATGTCTTACAATTTTGAAAATTTTTTAAATCTTGATTTATTCAAAAACGTAAGAATAAAAACCGTAAGAATCATACATTTTTTACTTCATATGTTAAAAAAATGATACAAAATCGCTCGATATTGTATGAATTCTTACGTTTACAAAAAAAGTCACAAAACCCGCTACATATACTACTTGTGTCACTTTTATCAATATCTGTATTTTGAATGGAGTAATTAACTTAAAATTGCATGGTTAAACTAAATTATTTGTCAGAAGATTGGCATTTTTCAATTCAATTTTTTATCTCCCACGATTTCATAAGAGCATTGATTATATGTCCGTTGCCTAATTGTCTCATATGAAATATAGCTCACAAAATTCGCGTGCTCGTCGAATTCCCAATTTCTGTAGCATTTGGATCAGAAAAAATACTGTCTGTCGGTAATATAAATTTTTGTTATTCTGACGCATCGTTCAGAATTTGAGGGGATTTTAGGTCCTAAAAATAAGTATCTTCCGATACACTAGAAACTCTGTTGGATTGGCCTCAAAAATTTCATACAAGATCTTTCCCCACACAGCCTCCGGCTGGTCTGCCACTTTAGGTCCATTAAAATTGATAACAATGTGTTAGAGTATCCACAATGCGTTAGAACGATAGACAGTATAACAAATTTAAATCTAACTAAAATTCATAATTTATTTGATTATTTTAATATTTCTAACTGGTGTCATTTCTTTAAATAGTTCGATCATCATTTACTGTTGCAGATTCGATTTGAGCATTGTCTTACTCTCAGAAAATCTAATTTGATGTTTGAAATCGTTGTGATAATCGTATTCTTTTAATTTCATTGCATTATCGGATTTGAATCAAAATTGGAAATGAAGGGTTCTACTGTCCCTCAATTTTGAGCCGAATTTATGGTTTAGAACCGAATTCAGAATTTCTGTTGACCTAAAGTGAAACCAGACCTAGATAAATAAAATATACATTTAGAAATATTTCGAAACAACCAGAAATGAGCTGAAAATAAATTTTTGACATTTATTTTAATGCCCGACCAAATAATGAATTTTAATTTTGGACTCATTTATGAGTTTTTTGATTGCCGTTCTTTCTAAATATTTTTAAATTAGGCCTAAATAAAATTGAGAAAACGGGCGGTTATTCTAAATACGGCTTGAAATTTGATGACAGTAACCCACCACCTTGATGACCTACATGATTGATATTAATTCCTGTACTCATATACAGTATGATATATTTTCTAAATACCATGTAATAACCTACATAATTGAACGTCAAATAAACAAGATGAATCTGAAAGGACCGATTTATTATACACGGCAGTCTTATTGTTCTTTCTATTTCATAGATTGGCTATAACACAGCATTTACTTGAAGTAGTTAAATTTCTCATTTCATGTATCAACTGGCTGTGAAGATTTGTACTTGGATGTATCGTGTTTAATGACTAGCTCCTGTAGTGCATGTGGTATTGTCAGAAAATCTAATCTGATATTTAAAATCGGTGCGATAATTTTATTCCTTTAATTTCATGTCACTGTTCCAAATAAAATTATATTGATGTATCCACTGCGTTATATCAGCTAAAAACGGAAAATAAGGAAGAATTAAACTCGATTTTCAATATGATCAAAACAAATTTGATTGATTCAAAAATATATCTTCCTCGAAAAATTATAAAGGTCATTTCAGATATTATTCCTTTTAATAACCGCTATACAAAGTCATACTTGGAACTTATGAAACTCATCTCAGATGATTATCATCTAAAATAGATAACGAATATTCCAAATTTATATAACTTCCATATTTTAAGGGTGCACTTACGCCCATCTGACTTTCATTCAAATTTTTGACAAACGGCGTGAAGCGTCATTGAAAATTAACCTTAAACGTCTGAATTGAAGGTTCTGCCATAGGGGCGTAAGTGCACCCTTAAAAGGGTATAATGTTGGTTCTGGAAGTTCAGGAGATATCGAAAAATTGAAAAATTGAAATTAGAAATCCCAAATATTTACAATTTACACGGCTATTATGAAAGTGATGGATTTGATAAATATCAAGTGCTCAATAGTCAGCAAGTACTCAATTTTCCTCTCAAACGATTTTTAAGGGTGCACTTACGCCCCTATGACAGGGCCTTCAATTCAGATATTTAAGGTTAAATTTCAATGGTGTGTCACGTTTGTTGTCAAAAATTTGAATTAAAGTCAGATGAGCGTATGTGCAGCCTTAAAAAATTCACAATATTGTCGACTTTAAATTCAACTCATATAATTAATTGAATGAATTACGCAACCCGTTTTATTTTAGATACAATAAAAAGTATAGAATAGCCATAAAAAATTGAGAGTTGCGAAAAAATAGCTTTGTGTGTAGAATAAGTGGAGAAGTTTAATTATTTTTTTAATCCTAATAAAACTCATCTTCGAAAATACCAGAAAAAGAATAGTATCTTATGTAAGAACATTATTTGCACCATGTGAAATGAGAACTTCAGCAATTTCTGTATTGTTTTCATTTACTGCAATATGAAGTGCAGTTTCTCCATCTTCATCTTTTTCATCGATATTCGCACCATGTGAAATGAGAACTTCGGCGACTTCTTTACTATTATTCAATGCTGCAATATGAAGTGCGGTTTTTCCATCTTCATCTTTTTCATCGATATTCGCACCATGTGAAATGAGAACTTCGGCGACTTCTTTACTATTACGCAATGCTGCTCTACGAAGTGCTGTTTCTCCGTCTTTATTTTTTTCATCGATATTCGCACCATGTGAAATGAGAACTTCGGCGACTTCTTTACTATTATTCAATGCTGCAATATGAAGTGGGGTTTCTCCATCTTCATCTTTTTCATTGATATTCGCACCATGTGAAATGAAAACTTCGGCGACTTCTTTACTATTATTCAATGCTGCAATATGAAGTGCGGTTTTTCCATCTTCATCTTTTTCATTGATATTCGCACCATGTGAAATGAGAACTTCGGCGACTTCTTTACTATTACGCAATGCTGCTCTACGAAGTGCTGTTTCTCCGTCTTTATTTTTTTCATCGATATTCGCACCATGTGAAATGAGAACTTCGGCGACTTCTTTACTATTATTCAATGCTGCAATATGAAGTGGGGTTTCTCCATCTTCATCTTTTTCATTGATATTCGCACCATGTGAAATGAAAACTTCGGCGACTTCTTTACTATTATTCAATGCTGCAATATGAAGTGCGGTTTTTCCATCTTCATCTTTTTCATTGATATTCGCACCATGTGAAATGAGAACTTCGGCGACTTCTTTACTATTATTCAATGCTGCAATATGAAGTGCAGTTTCTCCATCTTCATCTTTTTCATTGATATTCGCACCATGTGAAATGAGAACTTCGGCGACTTCTTTACTATTATTCAATGCTGCAATATGAAGTGCGGTTTTTCCATCTTCATCTTTTTCATTGATATTCGCACCATGTGAAATGAGAACTTCGGCGACTTCTTTACTATTATTCAATGCTGCTCTACGAAGTGCTGTTTCTCCGTCTTTATTTTTTTCATCGATATTCGCACCATGTGAAAGAAAGTATTCCAAAAGGGATGGAATATTGAAAATTGATGAATAAACAAAGCATTTGTTTATATCATTAGTTTGATCGAAATTAACTAAAAAGGATTCAAGATTATCCCAAAGTCCACAATATTCTAAATTGATCTCTATATTGTATTCGTTCATCAAGAATGTAACAAAATCAATGTTGTGAGAAACAATTGCATAAAACATGCATTCATCAGTTGGTGTTTGATATTTCAAACATTCACTCATGATCTCCGGATTTCCCCCTAAAAATGAAAATTCCAGACATAAATCAGTTATTTCGGATTTAAATTTCGATCTTAATAACTTGAAACAATCAACTGCTCCATGGTAACAACATAATTCAAGAAATGAATATCCTTCGTAAGAAAATGGGTATAAATCGCTATTAAGTTTTTGATCTTTATCAAATCCATCTCGTTCTGTGAATATGATGAAATTTTCTTTGTCATTATTCATAATTGCTTTGTATATTGTATTCTCTGTATGAATGTCCAGATTTTTAAGATCATCTTTTTCGAAGTCATCAGATTTGTTTAATTTGATTCCATATTCTTTATAAAATAAGAAGTTTGAAATAGTTGCAACTTCGTTGACCTCTTTGATTTGATATTCATCTGATATGAGTTTGGCAAGAGATAAATATGACTTTGCAGAGTGATTATTATACGGAACAAGATTTAAAATGCCCCGTATCATACTTTCTGGAGGATATTTATTTGAATCAATCAATTCTGTTTTGATCATTTTGTAAATCGAGTTTAATTCTTCCTCTTTTTCCGTTTTTAACTGATATAACGCATTGTATATATCGATATAGTATTTGTAGTTACTTCGCAATTCGCCGTATTTGTTTGGATGAGCGTCTTGGTCGGACATTAATAATTTTTATAGAGGACACATTTGCGTTTTAACATATAAATACCACTTAAATTTATTAGAAGAAAAAAAAAATCATATGTTATACATAGTGAAAACAGTGACTGCAAAGATTTCTGATGTAATTTATGAATTTTGATTAAATATATTGATGAGAAACGGCATGATAACAACATTAAAGTCTAGAGTAATAGGATTGTCATCCGGATGCTTATATTATTCAAGATTTATATATTCCAGCCACTCTAAATCAACTGATTCTTTGAAATTAGATAATATGTCATTAATAGAAATATTATTTATTTTCCAAAAGGTACTTTTTACAAAAAAAAAAATCTAGTTTTGAGGTAGGATTAATATATGGTTCATATGGAAAAAGCGATACTATTATTGGAATCTTTCAAATAGTATTTCATATTCAAAATCAAGCTTTCGATTCATGATTTATATCTAGATATACTGGAGAGAGTCATATCTGAATACCAAATTTACATATCAGAAATATTAAAACATATATTTGTTCAAACACATGTTCCTGAAGAATCCCATAACCCTGAAAACGTTCTTTAAAGACCATTTTTATTCATAAAGAGCGCCGATGAGTTTGCTCATATCAAAGAAATCATACTCGCTTATCCAGTTCTAAAAGTAGCTTATAAAAGTCTATAAATGTTAACCTTCGCCATTTCTCAGGAAGGATCGAGAATATTTGCAAGTAAAAAGATGGTTTTGTTAAACACATTTCATATTAATTATACAACGATTCATTCATGCATCAATGCAGAGAAATCTCGGAAATATTATTTCAAATTCGAAATAAATAAAATCTTAAAAGTAAGGGAAACCAATATTAAGAAGTTTTTCATAAAACAACAATGTATTTATTTTAAAACAAATATGAATCAAATTATATAACGCATAACTTGCTTAATAATTCTAAATATATATATTGTGTGTTATTTCTCCTCAGTATCAGAATCTAAACCTCTTGGTGGTTTAGTATTCGGGTCTAATAATCCTTTTTTAATTAAACTTTTCTTCAGTTTTGTCGACCAATGCAACTGTATTGCTACAGCAGTTCTATCAGGGAATATCTTTTGATATCTTCCCCAGTCATTTCCGTAAATTTTCCACTTTTCGAAAAGAATCTTGTCCATTTCTGTTGTCCAGCTTCTAGCGCTCTTAGATCTTCTCCTTCTACCTCTTCTGGAGTCTTCTGGTTGTGCATCGCTACTATCACTGCTGTCATTATCTTCTTCATCTGTTTCTTCTTCGTTGCTTTCGTTATCGGAACCATCATTCTTCTTCTTTTCAGCTTTCTTCTCTTCCTCGCCGTACGGATTTTCCTTCTGCCTCATGTGTGAATAAGCTCTGGAATTCTTAGATCTGAGCATTTCTTCTGTAAGCTTTCCTTCACTAATGTAGCGTGGTTTGACAACAGTATTCCATCTAACAGCAAGTTCTGTCATATCTCTACCTTGTAATGATGTAGAGATTTGGCCCCAATCGTTTCCAAAATTCATCCATGCGTTAAAAAGATTTTCATCGTCTTCTTCGGTCCAAACTGTTATTTCTTTCTTTGGTTTTCTGCCTGGTCGTTTTCTTACGGGCTCAATTTCTTGTTTCTGTTCTTCTTTCGGAGAATCTGAATTTGATGAATCAGATTTACTATTGTTATTGTTATCAGAAGCATCATTTGATGAATTAGATGATTCTTCTTCATTGCTTGATGACGAACTCGTTGTATCATCTATCATTTTTCTCTTAGATCTGCGAGATCTCCCTGAAGTCCTTCGAACTGGCTTTGTATCGCTAGTGCTTGAAGCAAGATCAATAGCAATTGGTGCACGAACTTTCATCCTAACGAGATCGTTGTAAGTTAATCTTCCTGATTGAATCATTTTTTGTCGGAGAGAAGCATTCCAATGCAATGAAACGGCTGCTTTCGTACGTCCTGGGAAGTATTTGAGGATCCTGGTCCAGTCGCTGCCATACTTCATCCATTTTGAATATAATAATTCATCTTGTTCTGGAGTCCAATGAGTTGCATACGTTGGATTTGAATCCGGATCGACCTTCTCCTTCTTGTGGGATTTCTTTCGGCCTCTAGAATATGAGTCATCATCACTTGATTCAGCGGAATCGGATTCAGATTCGTCTGTTTTGGCAGTATTGTTTCGTTTTTCGGTATTTTCTTCTGCAGCCTCTTCTTCTACCTCATCTTCATCTGGTTTAAGACGTCCTTCTAATTCTTCAATCGTAACTCCGCAAAGTAATGCAATTGCAGCCTTAACATCATACTTAGTATACCGTAAAGCGTGTTTTGCAAACTTGTGCGGAAATCCCATGTTTTGTATATAGATAATACTTGATTCGAAAGATTCAGGATCATTTTTATATTTCCTATGTACAATTGAGTTGGATTCCGAATAGTATGGAAAGCTTGATGATGAATACATTGTATCCTCAAATGGGAAGATATTTTCGTATTTTAACAAATCTTCGCTAGAATCGTTATTTGTTGAAATTAAACATTTGATTAGTCGTGATTCGGCATTTATGACGCCATTGATATTATCATCATCGTTCAGCTTCTTCTCATTAAATTGTAATTCTAAATTATCTATCGGTACATCTATTAATGATGAAATACGCTCTTTTACATCATGTACTGTTGTGTTCTCCTGGATATCGACATTTTTTCGATCTTTACCATCTATCTCCACTTCAACAAACATGATTTAAAATCTATCGTACTATTCAAAATTTGAATACCACTGGCTACATCTCATTTCTTTTTTAATCATAGACTAATAAACGTATGTAAATGCTATGTGCATAAATTTTGTATGAAATCTTATGAAAGATAAACTCATCATGACATTTTGCAAAGAAAGAAAAGAATCAGAATGGACTGATTACACTCATAAATTTATTTGACTATGCTTCTAGTTATAGAATAAACAGAGTGGATTTATATACATGAGAGAATGATATTCCAAATCAAATAATTATGCATGACACGTTGTATTTTTCTTTGAAAGAGACGATTTTATAAAGAGTATAGAACAAATTGGTCTAGGGGTTACCGTTTACATAATATTGCAGCTCAAAATTCTGTGAATTAACAGAGATGTTGACAGGAGCTTTTTTTGTAAAATAAACGGTCGTTAAACGAGATTTTATTTTAAACGTGCACTTTTTGTGTAAACTTTCTGAATCTCCATCCAAAAGCTTGCAAATAGCAATGAACTGAAACAACCTAATGCCTAATTTTACATAGAATCCATCAGTGTAATAGATTAAATCAGTTAAATGGTTTTAAATTAAAATTATTTATCTCAATAGTCACAAAAGACAAAGAAATTCTATTAGAAATTGCTCTTTTTCTCTTCTTAGGGATAATTAGCTGAATTTGGTTTGATAAACTAGTTAATCATCTGTTTTTGTGATTCCATCTCAAAAAAATAATCACTTTTTGATTTCAATTGTGTATAGCCAAGCTATGTTTTCTGAGTTGAAACAATATCTTGAATCCGAAGGATGAATATTCATATCAAGTATTAGAATTGCTCTAGATTTGATTTTTTTTACTTCAAATTTATTTAGTAAACGGAGTAACTTATATATATGCAGCAATACTGCTTGTCATATTGTAGATATTTAGAGTATTTCTTGATATGTTATAGAATCACAGTAAATCCAAAAATGAGAGCAAAGAAATGAGATTTAGCAGCTGCCTGTTAATTTCATACTGCTAGTAGTATTCATAGAAACTGAAATGATAAGGTAAATTAATCTCATTTTCAGATAACGATACGCATCAAAAGTGCCATCGCGTTTTTTATAAAATCCTATCGTTAGAAAGATTTCAATACAGAACTTCACTTTTCGAAGGAATGATTCGCTTTTTCTTAGTCTTCAACAGGCAAGGTGCCGTCCGTCTCGTTAAATGGTACACCCCATACTCAACAGCTGAGAAGGAAAAGCTTAAAACAGATATTCATCGTCTTGTTTGCCGCCGTGCTTCAAACTTAACTAATGTCCTCGAATACAAGAACTACAAAATTATCTACCGCCCATACGCAGCTCTTTTCATGTGCATGTGCGTTGATGCAAATGATAATGAGTTTGCTATTCTCGAAACCATCCATCTTTTCGTAGAAGTCATGGACCAATATTTCGGAAAGGTCCGTGAGTTAGATTTGCTCCTGCAATTCCATAAAGTTTACGCAATTCTTGATGAATTTATTGTTGCTGGTGAAGTTGGCGAATGCAACAAGCAAACCATTGTCGACCGCATGAAGATGCTTGACGACCTTAGCTAAAGTTGTAATTAAACGAAAAATATAATTAGATTTCTATGAATTTAAAATATTTAAGAGATATTTGTTCCCCCAATACGTATTAAGGTTACTCATATTAAAAATCTACTAAAAATTATAATATTTCTACTTTTTATTGATCGGAATTTTATATTTTTCATTTTATGTATTTTAAACATATGATGTGATGCTTCCTACTCCTAATTCCAAACAATCAAAGTCGACAGAATAGTCTATTCGCTATAATTCCAAAAAAAAATATTTGAAAGATTTTATAGAAGCATATATATTGCATTGAGGATAATACTTATTTTTAACCACCAAACCATATACTGAGCTCTCACTAGTCAATATTGATTACACTAAATGTCTGAAGTGTCTCTTATAGGCGCTGCACGCCCATACGGGTCAAAAATCTTTGTAAAATCTTTTGAAATAAAAAGATATGAGTTCTCCAAAAGATACATTACTTCATTGCTATCATCTACTTGAAACAGGTGGAGAAGGAGTTAATGAAGTTACTCCTATAATTCTCGAAATTTATTCCAATCCAGAAAATATTAGTATTTTATTTGAATTAAATCTACAAAGTGAAAGCAAATACGTACAAAAAATATCTGTCATTGGCATCAAAAACATAATTAAAGAACTTTTTAACGCAAATAAAGAAATTCCTGCTGATTTGTTAAATTATCTTAAATCAATCGCTATACAAGGACTTCAAAGTGAAGTCTCTGAAGAGTCTAAGAAATGGTATATCTTTATTTCAACAATGTTGCTTTCAAAACTCATTCCTTCACCAGGATTTCCTGAATTAATCGAAGTTGCCTCTAATTTCATACAAGATCCTCTTCAAATTCAAACAGGTCTACTTTTATGGTCAAATATCAACAAAGAACTCAGTGCTGATCAAATGTCAGAATTTGTACCGGGATTAATGCAAGCAATTACAGTTTCTCTACGTGTTGATGATAGACCTAACGTAAGAATTCTTGGCTTAGGCTTATTCCTCAGTTTACTCGAGCGTCAATGCGATATTGAGATTTTCAAGACAAATCAAGAATTCCATGCAGCTCTTCAAGCTGAATACGAACGTGCCATCATTGGTGGTGCTTCAGAAGATGAAAGATCGCAAACTACGGAAACAATTGCTTATATGATCAGATCTGAAGAAGGATTTGAAGTTTTAGAGCCATCATTCAAACAAATATACCATATTACATTCCAGACATTCTTTGATGACCAATTTTCCTGGAAAATCCGCTTAGATTGTCTTTGTGTCTTAAATGCCGTCATTGACCACAATCCGAAGCTTGCAGAATCCTTCCTTGAAGATCTTATCCCCACTGCCATCAATCTTACTGTCGAACAATGCAATCAGGAAGGAAGAGAAAATTTCCAACCTCATTTCACTGATGTCTTATTTACAATCCTTGCATCAGAGGAAGACATTGCTCCAGACCTTATCGCCGAGATCCTGGCCAACGCGCAAGAAACTTTGGAGTCAAATTCTCCTGATATCGTATTAGTTCAAGTTTTAGTCCAAATCTTCGCCTATTTATCAGACGGTGCCAGATCTCTTTTGGCAGAGTTCGCTCCGGACATTTTGAACGATGTTTTCTTCAAATGTCTTGAAATTGAAGATGAAAGTATAATTTCAGCAACATGCGTTACAATGTCAGACATTTCGGAGACATCACCATCATTCTTCAACGGATTTATCGATCAAATCACAACTTATTTGATAAATCTCCACGAAAACGAAGAATCTCTTAAAACATTGCAAGCAATCCTTCAAAACAGCGACGAATCGCCAAGTGATGTTCCACAAGTTGTCTACGCATTGATACAACTCATCCAAACCATGTTTGAACAAGGACAAGATTTATCATATTATATCTCTGTCATTTCCCAGCTGATTTCGAAATACAATGGTGACCAAGGCAATCTATACAATGATATAAGGGATATTATCATTGCTATCATCAAAAACGGCGATTGTTTCGGTCCATGTTTTGAATTATTCTCTTATTTATGTAAAATGAATCCAAACTTGGCTTCAAATGACATCCAAGACTTTCTTCAGACAATGGTTGATTGCGTTACCCCTGATAGCATCGATTTGGCCCAATCAGTATCGATTGCTTTGAGAAACATCGCAATAACTATGCCAGAAACTTTGGAAAATTTCATTCCTCAGTTATCTGAATCATTAATTCCATTCATCGCTTCGGATATAACAGGAAACACTTTATTAACTGATGATGAGAAGGCCCGGGAGAATGAATCCAAGTCTTCACAAGTACAAGGCTGTATCTTGGTTTGTTTGGCCGCATTCATTACAGCATCACCGATTAAAATCCCCTCAAATATTGTTGAAGAAATAATCAACATGATATGTAATTGGGTGACTGATGAAGATGAACAGAAACAATCCTTTGCATGCGATGCAATCAATGACATTGCTCCTGGTCTTTCTGTTCTTCAAATTAACCCTGAACAGATAATTTCCAGTTTATACGCGTCAATTGATAATTCCACTGATATTGACATTTGTTCGAGTCTTCTTTCATCATTAGCTGTTGTTATAGCTAATTGCGGACAATACGTAAATGATGAAAGAGTCTCACAATTGTTCAATTTCATTTTAGACGTGATTTCATCTAAAAACAAAAACTTTTTGGATGAAAAAGATGTAATTGACAAAGAAATCGCTTCTCCTTTCTTCTATTTCTTCAAATGCTTTGTTATTGGAGGTCTCGCACAAAGATGCAATGCAGAGATAATGTCTTTGGTACAGCCTCTTCTTGATATCGTTGAAAATCAATACGACATCAACAAAATTTTGTCAATTTTGGCTATCGCGAGATTGTCTTTTGTTTTTGTTGATAATTTCAATGATATAATACCAGATGTCATCAGAAGATTGAAGTATATAATGGAGAATGCAAGGACATTGACAGCAGACATGAAAGGAAACTGTTACGCGATTGTTGCTATATTTAGTTCATTGAATGTCAATTTCTTCGGTGAAGAAGAGTTGTCTTTCTTCGTGAATATGATGAATAATGATGTAAATAGTACACAAACAATGATATCGTCTAATGCTTGTTTGGCAATGGTTTGTATCGCTGCAAATGGAATAGAAATTGATCAAAATGTTCTTAAAGTTTGTTTGAGTAAAATGCCGCCGCCATGTGATGAAGAAGACGTGATTTTCTTCGCAAAGGCTGCAACAAACTTACAGAATATTGATAATTCATTGCTCCAGAAGTCGTCTGTTTCTGTCTTCGGTTCTTCTCCATTTATTATTAATTTAATTAGTCCTGAAATTCTTTCTAATCTTCTTGAAATTGCCAAAACACTCAGTAACGAGTATGTTGTTCAGTTGTTGGGTGGTGATGAGGCTTCTATATCAAGATTTAGAAAGAATGTTCAGCAACAATAGAGTATTTATATATATATATTTATTTGAATAAATATTTTTTTAGAGATTATCTTAATTTATAGTTCTCGAACAAGCGATTTTTTTGGACCCACATAAGAGTTTTATCCTTTTTCTATAATCATCAAAATGAGTGTCTAATTTCTGAGAATATTGTTGTATATCCTAAATAAATTGTGGATAAATGTGTATAATGAGAGAGTAAGTTCTTCCATTATGTACATATATCTTTTCAGTTTGTAAATTTGATGAATTATACCTCATTTTATTAGGAATTGAAAAAGTGCTATTTAGAGATATTTTTAGCTGTATTGGAGTGGGAAAGAGAATTGTATCTTTACTTTTGTATCGAAATGACTCTATTGTAATAAACAGAAATTCATCAAAAGTGACAGCTCTCAATTTTTTGACATTTGTAAATTCTAAATTGAATGAGAAAAATGAAATAATACTAAGCATAATACAATATTCTAGATTTAATTATAATTAGGAAAAAGTTAGTTTTGAGAGTACTTTTCATAGGCAGATAGAATGAAATCTTCTGAAAAATAATATCACATAAACTCATATTATTTTCTAATATATAACTATTTTATATAAAAATCAAATTCAATGATCTTAAAAGCGAAGGATAAACCTCAAAATTTACGAATATAATGAGTGGGAATATAATGCTTATCTATCATAAAACCATATGAAATATTAATTTTTGCTTTACGCCTAATTTTTGACGACAATTAGCAAAAAATGTTAAATGTTAACACTCAGTCCATTTGAATATGAAAAATAAAATTGACTTTGATTAAATGTTTTTATTTATCATGCAATTCTTCTTGCGACCAAAGATTTGAATAAAAGTTCAAAAAAAAAGATAGCTTAAAAAATAATATACGGTAGTGTTTACTAATAGATGAATAGTATATAAATTCTATTAAAATGGATTTGATCCAAAAAAATATATAAAATTTGATCATAAATAAAATTGTTTAGTAGTCATTTAAAATGATGTAATTATTCAAATTTTGCTAAGACCCATTCGTCTTTGATATATAACTCCCATTTTTGCATTTCTGGCTCGTACCAAAATTTTGAAACTTCGAATAATTCGTTAGGAGTGTAATTACTATTCGTTTTTGGATTAATATCGAGAGATAAATGTGGTGTATTGTTGTATTTTTCAATGAACTGCTGAACTGAGTCCTTGATTTGTTGAATATCATCCAACTCGTCTGGCAAAAACAGTTAGTAAGACTAAGTCGTGTACTGAGGCACTGCGCGCCTCCGTACACCACTTAGCGTTTTTGACACTTTACAAAACCATTAACGTATATTTTACAACACAAACGACAACACTAACTTAACCTTAAATATTTACAAAGCCGCCAACCACTTCACTTAACTACTGTAAAAAATAAACGTTCTCACTTACAAAAGTATTGCAACTCTTCCCATTGCTGTGCTTCACACAATAGTTCATATTCTTCAGTATCGCTGCTGTCGCTCCAATCGTCAGAGTCAAAGTCACTGTCAAAATAAATGTTAGTAAGTTTTGACAAAGCTAATGAAACACGTTTACCGTTTGTATCGTATGCTTGTATAAACTTTCCATTCTTCATTCCTTCATAAACGCTCAAACTAACTTTACCCTTTCTCCCTCGTATCTGATAGAATGTATTTTCACGAGGAACGAAGAACAAATTCTTGAACTCATGACCGTTGTAGTTTGTTATCTCAATAGTTTTCGTCATTTATATAAAAATAAAATAAAAATAAAATATAAAAATAAAATAAAAAATAAAATAAAAAATAAAATAAAAAATAAACTTAAAAATTAATGATATCACCACTCCCACACGTATGAAAACATAGCGCAAAAATAAATTTAGGTGAAGTGGTGAGATCTCACCTCTTTTTTCACCTGTTTTTTCACCCTGTTGAATTCATTGCTTTATAACTCTCTTCCTTTCTCCAACTCTTCTAACTTCTTCCTAAGTTTAGCAATGTTGTCCTCATGAAGTTTAATCTTTCTCAAAATTCCTTCTTTATCTAATGGTTGCTTTATCTTTCTAAACTGAACTCTACCATCCTTCATAGTATGAATGTAAAAACCTTCTGGAATAGTTCCTGATTTAATGTATTCTACCAAAAACTTTTGTTTCATTGCTTCAGTGACTTTATTTGTCATTTCAATCAAATAAAAATTTTAATATTAAATAAAAATAACGTTATTTTTTCAGTAAGGAAACGCAGGAGTTTTACGATTTATTTGAGGAGTAGGTTCTGGTTTAAATGTTGGAGTCGGTTTAGGAGTTGACTTTTGAACAGGAGTTTGTACTTCCATAGGTTCAGGAGTCATTGAAGGTTTTGCTTGTGAAGGCGTTGGTTTTGGCGAAGGTGTTGGAGTTTGTTTAACTTCAGCTACTTCAGTATTATTTACAACATTTGCTTTATTTCTTTTCAACATCATAACTGCTCCTGCTGTAGCTAGCAAACCTAGTGGGAGACCATATCTTATATAAGGACTTGACCAAATGCTATTTTTGACAGGAGCTGGTGGAACACCTAACCTTGGTGAGACTGCTCTTTGCCATTGTGCAGCTCGTAAGAAATATTCAATAGGTGCTCCATAATCGTTTGGTAAAGTTTGTTTCATAGATGGTGAAGGTTCACGAGAGCTTGATGAAGAACTCATTTATAAGCTTTAAAATAAACGTTCATCCTTTATTCCTCACTGTCGTCCGTAGCTAAGTTATAGTCATCTAATCTTATTATGGGGATGCCATTAGCACGCACCTGAATGGCAAAGCAACAATCCCTCATAAATCCAATAAGTGGCTTTGGTACATTTTCAGTTGCTAGTTCAATAGGTCCTTTAACAGACAATTTGTATGTTATTGGAGCAGTAGATGTTTGACCTTGCTGGAAGCAAAAGTCCACTTCTGTTGGAAACCACATAAGAAATGTGTGTTGTCATAGCTATCCCATTTATGTTCCACACTACCATCATCCACCAATGACCTCATAACATCTTCATTAAATCCTATCATATCATTGTTTGTATTGCAAGCGTTCGCAACCATTTCATAAAATACAGGTCCATATGATTTTTCAGGTTCTGCAGGCATATTTCCATAAGCTCCCATGGAAAGCTGAAGATATTTAAACTTAGGGTTCTCAAAATTAACATAATAGTTGTCTTTCTTTCTAAATAGTGCCCAAATACTTTTAACATTAATAGGCGTATAAGCTGCTGTAAATGTTGCACTTGAACTATCTGTATTCTTTGAGAATGAACCGTCCATAGGAATCCAATCCATAACTTTAACAGGAAAACATAAAGCCTCGTTTGTATAATGTTCTACAAGTTCTGTATAAATGTTAGGGTCTAAAGAGAATGACTTTGGATGAATGAAACATTCATTAAAATCCATCTTTGTTCGAAATAGTTGCTGGGTTACAGTTGTAATAGTAACTGTTCCACTAGCTTCTACTGCCTTCGTTATCATAGTGAATGGTTCATTCCATGGAACAAATTTATTTGTCGGTGGATTTGAATCTGAAGCAAATGCAACTTTAAGAGTTGGATTGAAAGCAATGATATCATTTACAGATATAGATGTGCATTGTAAGGCGTCGCTACTGAACTTTACTTTAAGCTGAATGTTTCCTGCAAAAGCTGGAATAAATCGAATAGCTTCTAATGGAAGGAATTTCTAACAGGAATTCTTAAACGAAGCTTAAAATCAAATGATTTTCCTGCTGTAATTGGACCACTAACAATTTGTCCTGTTCTGCATGTTCCCGAATGACTCCATACATCTTCATGTCGAGTCTTTGAGAAAACATCTACTTTCTTTATTTGTTCGGTAGTTTGTGAGTTTGAAGTTATATATGCTTCTTCTCTTGCGTTGTCTTGAGAATATACGATACGACCATTTGCAAGGATTTGATATCCAGCAACTGCATAGAAAGCGTCATCGAAACCAATCCAAAATCCTGGTGGGTTTGTTTTATTGGAACCTGAACCAATTTCTTTATCTACAATAAATTGACCTTCCATTTTATACGTAATGAATGTATTGTAAAGGTCCAACATATTTTCACCAGGAGGTGAGAGATTGAATGTTACCCATGTGTTATCTTTAGCAGTTCCAGGTTGTGATGGAATCTTTGCGTCAGAATATTTTCTATTAGTGTCACCAATTTGAACTGCATTGTCTATGATATCGAAATATGAGCGAATCTGATGAATATGCTCTGCTGGAGTAAATTCGTTTAACTGTTCGTTCTGCATGTATTTACTTCAGATAAAAATATCTATTTACTTCATTATTCTCACTCTTCTTCTTGGCATTCGTGGTGGAAGTTGTTTCTTGACATTTTCAATGAACTGTACATTCTCTTTTGTCTCAACTTCTTTCACTGGCGGGTCAGGATTCTTTGACTCGGTTTGTTTTTCAATGAAATTCACGAACTTTGCAATAAGCTCTTGGTTCGTTATTGAAAGTACATCTGGCTTCTTTTCTTCTGGTTCTATTGACTTTTCAGTTTGAACAGAAGGTTTTATATGGGCTTCGTGGACTTCACCCTTGCCATACACCTTAATGTTGTCGCTTTCTGCATTCGCTAATGGAACCTTTCTTTTTCTTACGTATATTTTACCATCTTTACTCTGACTTACGTAATAGAAAGGATGTTGTATTCCTCTTGCGTCATTTAATATGATAGACTCTCGTTCTGATTTTGACAAGCTCATTTTACATCGGTTAAAGTTTTAATTTTGTTTTTTATCTGCAGTCAAATGACTCAGACAAGCCCTACGGACAAGACCCAAGGGGTTATAGATGTTGAAGCATTGAAGAAAGAAATTCGTGAGCAAATTTTATCCGAACTGAAGGAACAAAAACAAGAACAAAAGCCAGAGAGACCAAAGAGAAAACTTAGTGAAAAACAACTTGCTGCATTAGCTGCTGGAAGACAAAAGAACCCACGTTTGCTGGCGA